TTCAATGCTGTTTTAATTTGCATTTCTAGAATGACCAGTGATGGTGAACATTTCTTCATGCATTTATTTGCCATTTGTATATCTTCATCTGAGAACTGTGTGTTCATCTCTGATGCCCATTTTTGGAGAGGGTCTCTGAATTTGGGAGGCTTCATGTTTTTCTGTTCTTTATATGTTCTGGCTATAAGTCCTTTGAGGGATTGCTGGCTAAAATTCTTTCTCATTCTGTGGGTTTTCTTTTCTTTGATGGTGATTTCTTTTAAAGTGCAAAAAATTTTAGTAATGAAATCCTAGTAGTTGACTCTGATGTATTTCCCATGTGGTTTGCATTTTATTCATGAATTCTCTACCTACCTCTATGTCTCCCAAGATTTCTACCTACCTTGTCCTACAGTAGATTTAGTGTTTCTGTTTTAACATTTAGATCCTTAATCCATTTTGACTTTAGTTTAGTGTATGGTGATAGGCATGGGTATATTTTCAGTCTTTGGCATGTGGAAAGCCAATTTTTCGAACACCATTTATTAAAGAGGCTATTTTTTCCCAGTGAACATGTTTAGCTCCTTTGTCAAATATAAGGTGGCTGAGTGTCTTTGTAGTAGTGTTTCTATCTTCTAATCTGTCCCACTGATCTTTGGGTCTTATTTCTTTGCCAGTACCATGCTGATTTTATTACTGTGGCTTTGTAGTATAGTTTCCAGTCAGGAATTGACATGCCTCCTGTCTTACCTTTGTTGCCCAGAGTCCTTTGCTAAGCTATGTTTCTTCTGTTTCCAAATGAATCTTAGGAATATTTTCTCTAGATCTGTAAGGTATGATAACGGTATTTTGATCGGGATTGCATTGAATCTATGTAACAGTTTTGGGAGTATGGCCATTTTCATAATGTTGGTTCTTCCCAACCAAGAGCAAGGAATATCCTTCCATTTTCTATTATGCTGTGGGTGAGCACACAGGAGGAGTGTGCAGGGTTGCAGGTGCTGTGGTGGTCAGAGCCAGGGTGGAATGCGGCTGTTACCCTCTGGGTCTGCAGTCATGGGACGGTGCTGAAGGGCACAAGTGGGCTCAGCTTTCTTGGGTGAGGAAAATCTCAGTGTTGTTTTAATTTGCATCTCTCAAATGACCAATACTGTTGAACATTATTAACGTATTTAGTTGCTGTTTGTACTTCTTCATCTGAAAAAGTGTGTTTTAACCCTAGGTGCCCATTTTTGGACTGAGTTCTTAAATCTGGGAGGACAGATTTTCTTGAGGGCTTTATGTGTTCTCAGTAATACTCCCTCATCTGAGGAACGGCTGGAACACATTTTCTCCCACAGTGTGGGCTGTCTCTTCACTCTGGTGGTGATTTTTCTTGCTGTGCAAAAGCTTTTCAATAGGATGTGATCACATTTGTTGATTCTTTGAGATAAGTCATGTTCAATCTGGGTTTCATTCACCGATGTCGTCAAGAGTTTTACCTACTCGAGGGGCTGGGGATTTAGCTCAGCGGCATAAGCACCTGCCTTGCAAGCAGGCAGTCGTGAGTTCGATCCCTGGTACCGATAAAAACCGAAAAAGACAAAAAAAAAAAAAAGAGTTTTACCTACTCGAACTTAAGCAGATTGAATGTTTCTGTTTTAATATTAAGATCTTTGATCAGTTGCAGTTTTAGCTTAATAGATGGTGAAAGATATGGGTCAGCGTTTCATGTTTGGCATGTGGAAAGTCAGGTTTTTGACCACCATCAAAGAGCCTGTGTTTCTTCCGGTGAACGTACTAGGCACCTTTGTCAAAGGTAAGGTGACTGAGTATGTCTGAAGTTGGTTCTGCATCTTCTAATCTCTTCCATTTTCTTTGGGTCTTTTTTCTGTGCTAGTCCCACACTGTTTTTATCAGAGAAGCTTTCTAGTGTGATTTTAAGTCAGGGATTGTGATGCCCCGTGTGTTGCCTTTGTTGCCCAGGTTGCCTTTGTATACTAGGTCTCTTGTGATTCTGGATGAATTTCAGAGTGGTTTTCTCTAATTTTGTAAGGTATGCTGTTGGAAATATATGTACATGTTGTGTTGGAATTTTGATTGCATTGAATCTCTATAACGTTTCTTGAACTGTTGGTTTCACTATATTGGTTCCTCACTTCTTTAGTTTCTACTATGAATTCTGTCTCTTTCTTAGTTGTCAGAATCCACATTCTCAGTCTTGGCAAACAGTATGAATCCCAGCAGTCTGCCACTGGGATCCAGACCTCGGGAAAGCAAGCAGAAGGGTTTGGTGGTGCCCCCCACCCCACTGCTGCCCAGCAAGCCCCAGCCGCCCACCAGGTTTCAGGCCACACATGCAAAGTTCTTCACTCTGGAGAAGATGAGCTGCATGAAGTGTGCACGGGGCGCCCCTGAGTCTTCCCAGGTGAGGATCGTCCTGGAGACAGGCGGCTGAGCCAGGCTGGGTGGAAGAGCTGCCGAGCTCTGTGATACCCGGGCTCCACCATGGGAAAATGGGAATTCTGGAAGAGAGCATGGATCCGATCATGACAAGGCACACATTTCCCTAAAGCCACGTTCTGAGCTATTGTGTAATTGCACAGCATATTGATTTCTATGTATTTGCACCATCTTTGTGATTTATTTCTTCCCCAGTGTGGGAGGTGAATCCCAGGGCTGCTGTATGCGAGGCAAGCATTCTACAGTTCACCTACACACTCAGCTCTGTTTTTATAGTCTCACCTAACACAGAGTGGAACGGGATATGGAGAGACTGTGCTCCCAACAGCAGTGTGTGACATTTATTTGGATCTTGATTCAAGCAAACTTGACCGAAGAAGATGTAGTGATAATTAAAATGAATGCTGGCAGGAAACGACCCGTTCTCTCAAAGTAATCGAGATTGCATTGCTTTTCAAAATGGACCTATTCTTTAGAGTCCCTTGCTAAAGTCATCATTCATAGGCCCAAGATGGTGATGCCGGCTGGGAGGAAGGGCTAAGCCTGCTGCCAGGCACTTGTGGACCACACAGAGGCAGCCTGCAGAGGCAGGCAGAGCTCCATGAGCCTTCGGACTGGGAACAAGAGTGCCTTGTGCAAACCTGGACAAGCCTCTGGGTCCCTCTGAAGCCGTCTTTTTTGAAAAAGGAGGTACATCCGTCCAGTGGGAGGTCACAGATTCCACAGAGAGCCTGTGTGGTCCTGGCACATGGAACGTGGTGAGGCAGTGGTAGTGAAGGTTGTGACCCAGAGCCAGCAAGGCACCATGGGTAGACAGCAAGGCACCATGGGTAGACAGCAAGGCACCATGGGTGGACAGCAAGGCACCATGGGTAGGTAACAGCATAGGTGGAGCAACTGCAGCCTGGTGCTTCTGTCCCACACACACTGTGTGCATGGCCACGTGCAACAGCAAGGCTGAGGTGGGCAACCTGTGAACACACGTGCATTCCACCAAACCCATATTTCCTAAAGCAGGCAGACAAACAGGGAGAAACCAAACAAGCAGAGTGTACTGATAAATATCTTCATGGTAGACTTGGGTCAAACCTCAGTCATGAAGGAGGTTAAAACTAGTTAATTAATCAAGGAAAGTCTGAGATTACCCCAATGGGTCAGAGACATCCCCACAACACCCCGCTGTGCTGCCACATGAAGCACTTTACAGATTCTTTTTAGCTTAAACTTTGCATCTGAAATCACATTAGTTAGGCAAATGATACACAAATCAGTGTCGATGGCTTGTGACACATTCACCTCCCAGTTGTACCTGTGCTCACAAAGAAAAATTCAAATACAGAAACTGAAATTTACACAATATTGCTACGTGGAATAATTCATTTGGATTTCATCTGTTGGCCCGTGAGTGCCCCCTTTCCAGAACCGAACCAGGATCTCACATTCCCTTTACTTGTCAGGCTCCTAAGCCTCCTCCTGTCTCTAAGATTTCCTTGGTCTTTCTGTACCTTTTGACACACTACCCCCTTGGTCTGTGCAGTTGTCCTGTATTACAATAGAGCGAAACACTTTGCCAAGGACACCTTGGGAGAAAGAGCCCTCCCGTCATGCTTGTGGACACATGCGTAGTGACACCAATATCTAGTGTGGTGATGGGTACTACTTCCTTGTTCATCAGGGCATTTGACAGCATTCTGCAGTAATTAGTTTTTTCCAATCTGTGATTAATAAGCACCACTGAGAATTTCTTTGATGCCACATAAATGACCCATTTCCCTTCAAATATCTATCTACCCGCTTAATTGTCTTGTGCATACAGTCCACACTGGATGACCTATCTAACTAAGGATCATTTGAACCTGTGTCTGACTTAGATGTTCAAACTTCTGATCCATTACTGGGACTTAGAGCTGTCTTTTTTCATTTTGCTTTGTTGTGTGTGTTTTTGGACACAGGGTCTCACTACGCTGTTCAGGCTGGCCTCGGGCTCACTTTGTAGCCTAGGCTGCTCTTGGACTTGCAATGTTCCTCCTGCCTCAGCTTCCTAGTGCTAGGATTACAGAAGTGTGCTGCCATACCCCGCTCTCCCTTCTCTTCAGTAGAGCTCTGTACACCTAATTTATAAAGCTCAAATGTCGTTTTTTAAAATTCCACCTTGTTTATACAACAGTATCACTTTTGGTTACTGTACTGTACCATACAGAACCGCAGCTTAATGGTCACATTTATTTTACAGTTACTGGATGTGCAAAGTGTATAAATAAATCAGTGTCATCTACTTGGAGTTTCTCTGACCATTTCTTTGTTCTGAGTATGCAAATGTGCATGCCACACACAACCCTCACTTAGCAACCAATCCAATGAATAGCGTAATTGCGGGAGAAGACCTCGGTCAAGAAACGAGGAACACCTACTAGAATTGCTGTCACTGTTCTGCCATGAATAATGAGGCTGTAAGGCCAGGGATTTAGTCCTGCAGCCAAGCACCTGCATGGCAAGAATGAGGTTGTGAGTGCGATCTCCACTACCATTAAAGAAAGAAACAAACCAAAAAAAAACCTAACTAAATAAACCTTGTGGTGTTTCCGTAACACTGTGATGTTTATTATTGTTTCTGTACTTCTGTAGACACCAAGATTCGTATTGAATAGGAAAGCACATGCATAGTGAAGGTGTAGCTGCCCACTGATGGAGTCAGCTGGAGGGTCCTGTCAATGAAGATAAAGTGGATCTGTGAGCAAAGATGTCTTACTAGGCACGCAAGACATCGCGTGAGCTGGGTGTGAGTGCACCCAGGGTCTGTGACATCCCTATTCATATTTGGATGTGAAAAGATTTTGGATGTCAAAGAAAGAAAAGAAATGAAAAGACAAAAACAGAAAAATACAGCATTGGAGGAAGAGATTTTACCATTTGTCTGTTACTTGTTATTTTTGCCATTTTAAAATTTCTGGATGCAGGGTTTGGGTGCACAGTGCATGCTATCGTTCAATTCACTGTACAGCTCAAACTTGCCTTGAAATCAAAGAAATACTTCTTAGCCTCCCAAGTGCTGGGATTTCAGCCCTTCCCCTCACCTGTCTCCTCTTTGAATTTGGTAGAAAAAAGAAAAAATTGCAAGTCATTCCAAATAACAGCAGGACATCACAACTGCTTTCAAGTGCATCTTGAAGAATATCTTGTTTTAATCGAGGAGCACTTTGAGTAATTTTACCATCTTGTGCCCTCTCCATGCATGCCATCCTCTTCCTCTTCTCCCATTAAGCCTGCTGCCGCCTTCCCGAATCCTGAGCTGTGCAAACGCCAGGTCGCCCTCTGTTCCTCTTGGTCCTGTGCTGTCCTTCAGTCATCCTGTTCACTTCTCACAGGGGACTATTTCCTTCACAGGACATGACCATGAAACCTTCTGAGAACAGGAGAGATCTCTTTTCGGGAAGAGGACACCCAGTCATTAAGAAAGGACGGCACCTGCAGAAAAGCAAGGAGTAAACTGCTTAAATGCAATTTTTTTCCAAATTCACAAACTGTAATTGTTCTTCCAAAAATACATTTTTCATTCAGCTCCATCATACACTGAGGAAAAAATAGGACAAAGTAATTGTCAAGGGTCAACCTGTTCACACTTGAGCTGCAAGAAAAGACAATTCCCAGAACTGCTCCAACCGCAAGTCAGTCCTGCCCAGGAAGGTACCCCGTGACCACCCTGCCACACTCTGCTGCCCGCACCTGGTTCACCCCCAGAGCGGTCCTGGCTGTTCCAGCCCGCGAGCACCCTCCCCAGAACAACCCTACAAACCTTTCCCCAGGCCAAGGGCGGCTGTTTCGGTCCCCAAGCAGCCAGCTTCCCTGATAATAAAGCTGCTCTCCAGAGCAGTGTGTGCACCTGCTTCACGTGGGTTCTGGTCCATTAGAATGAAAAATCCATAGCATACATAAAGAGGCTCTAGTTTGGAACATAGCTGAGTTTTCCGGAAATTAGATTGGAAAGTTTCGCCATCCGAATGCCTGCTAGCAAGGGTTTCGGGGTGAGCCTAAGGTCCGCATTTACTCATGCATGTTTTTTTTTTTTTTTCCTTTTTTTGAGATGGGGGTCTCGCTATGCAGTTCAGAGTGTCCTTGAGCTCACTTTGCAGCCCAGGCTGGTCTCGAACTCGCAACGATCCTCCTGCCTCAGCCTCCCCAGTGCCGGGATTACAGGCGTGAGCCACCACGTCCGGTTTCCTCTTGAGTCCTTGAAACAGAGTGAGCTTCTTTTTTTTCCGTGGGAGTTTTGAGAAGCCATGATTGTCCTGCAATTGTTATGTGAGGTGAGGTTCACACTGGAGAACAAAGCCTGCTCCCCAAGTTTGCCACAATCTATCAGTCTATCTGTGGCCCAGCAGACCGGAGTTTACTTCCTCCTCGTTCTGTCTGGAGGGAGGGCACTGGGGCAGCGACCAATCAGCGTGGGAGAGGCGGGCTGCACGAACTGTCCAATCAGGAGGGCCTAGGTGGGCGGGACTTCCGGTGTGATGGCCGCGGCTGCTCAGTGTTCTGTGGAGGATGCCGGGGCTCCGCAGACCGCCTTCGGGGACTTCTGCCGCTGCAGGCCGCGTGGGAAGGACTCGGGGACACCGGGAAGCCGCGCAGTGGTGATGGTGCGGGACGGAAGCCGGGGAAGGGAGGGGGTCGGGCTGAGGTGTGAGAGGAGGCGGCCGGAACCGGCTCTGGGAGCCGCAGCCTCCCGCCGAGCTCCGGACCCCGAGGTCCTCCGGGCTCTGGGGCTTTTGCCACTGTTCCCTCGGCGGGGTCCGGGTCACCGCCGTGTCCGTGAGTCCGTCCCCACCGTGACACTGCCCGCCCACGGTGCCGTCCGTCCGGTGTGGCCCAGCAGCGCCTCAGCGGTGTGGGGAGAGCGGGGCTCGGGGCGGCCCTGGTTCAGGGCGGCCTGGAGCTGGTGCGGCTGCGGGCGCTGGGTCCCTGGTCTCGGTGCTTTCAGTAGCAGAGCTGGGGATGTGACGGCTATAAATGGCTGCGAGGCAGGGTCTCAGACCCACACCTGCTCTCCTCAGACCCTCCATTTTCTATTCACAGCAAAGTCCTGAATTTTCAGTGTTTATTTTCCCACATGGCCATCTCATAGTAGATGTTGATTAGGGCAAGGAGAGTGCACGAAAAGCTAACGTTGCAGGCGATTAGGAGGACAGCTTCCCAAGCATGCGGTGAACTGCTTCGTACTCAGCAACCCAAACGATTACCACATTAGTTCCTGCTATGGCCCCGCGCACAGTGCGCTCGTGGTCTCATGACTGTGGAGAGAGGTCCTGAATGTGATGGAGAACGTCAGTGTTCTCTCCAGCGACTCGGATCTTGGGTCTCCAGACTCCCGCGGGCTGGGCTTGTCTCTGTCTGACACAGAAAGTGGAAGAGGAGTCAGGGAAGAAAGCGCCAAGCAGGACTGTAGTGCAGCCATGGTGAAGAGATGGTCAGAGCTGCTCTGGGAGAGGAGTGGGGACCTGAGAGCTGAGCCACCCACAAATCCGGGTGGCTGTGCTGTTTTACATGATGGGAACCCCATTTCCACCACAGGCAGTGGTGCTTAGTGGATGTTGGACTTGTTGCTAGCGGGCTGGGTTTAGTGGCCTATACAAGTTTATCAACTCGTTTTTGGAAAGTCAGCTTGCTGAAAGGGAATTTGAGGAGCCAGGTGTAACTCAAAAGACACAAATGTGAACGTGCTAGCTGTTCCCAGGACTATGCCGGGACACAGAGGCCTGGTCTCCTCTACTTCTTAGAGGAGTCCCTTACCTACCCCTCCCCGTGGGTCTCAGCTGACTCTAGATGAGGAAAGATTGCATTTGAAATAGCAGAACTAGCTCCCAGATTCGTGGAAACTCTGAGGGGGTGGCCAGGTGGCTGCTTGATTCTGGGCTAAGTAGAGACAACCAGAGTAATATAGGGGAATGAATCTCTGGACCTACTGTGTCCGTGTGAGTTCCGGTTCTCTAAAATCAAAGAATGAATTTTAGGAACATCGGAGGTGAAGAGTAGAATATATTTGTTGAGAGAAAGAAACCTTTCTTCTGAAGAGAGACAGAAGGGATCCTGAGCCGGTTGCCCCGTTCTCTGTCTTTTCCAGGGACTTTATAGAGTAAAACCATGGGTGGGGCACTGGGGACTCATAAAGCAGATGGGCATGAGATGGAACATAACTATAGTTAGCCAAAAGAATCAACAGGTTAGGTAAAATTGATTACATTTGGGACAAAGGGGACAGCAAGTCATGTAGGAAGCAGGCATTGTTAGAGAGCAGTGACTCTTCCCTAGGGATTGGAATGGTGACTGGACTTCAAGGTGATCCAGACTTAATCCTTAAGGATTGTACTTCTAACTGGCTCGGCTGCCTGTAACAAGAGCTGGGTAATTGTTCAGTTAATGTCTACCTCTAACAGATGACTCTGGGCATGTGCAATAGCATTTGAAACTCAGCTTCTCAAACCCATTTTTTATCGTGTAAGGTTTAAGTTTAACCTGGGATTTTAGAGGAAATTTGGTTCTTTTGCACTTGAAGGCCTGGAAACCTGGGAACTTGGAAGGGTGTGGCTGCAACTGCTTGCATCAGAGAAGGCTCATTGTGTGTGATTCCTGAGGGAGTTCCCATCTTGGTCTTTTGTCTGTAGTTCTGCTACCTCTTATTTTAATTCTCATCCACATGGCTCAGGACCCAACCAGCCTCAGGCCTTTACCATAGGTATCTCACTCATCATAGAGGAAAACTGTTCTTTCTTTCTTTTTTTTTGTCTTTTTCGTTTTTTATCAGTATCAGGGATCGAACTCACGACTGCACACTTGCAAGGAAGGCGCTTATGCCGCTGAGCTAAATCCCCAGCCCAGGAAATCTGTTCTTTACAATGAGGCTATTTAAGTGAGGCCTTCCAGAGAGTTTAGAACACTGCGGAAAATAGTGTGGGTGTTAATATATTACCAATGCAGAAAGAGGTAGTTTCTCCTGTCTAAGGAAAAAATACAAGTAACTCCATGTTACCAGTGTTACAGGCAGCTGAGCCAGTTAGAAATCATACGTGCAGTCAGACAGGGCTGGAGCCTGGAGGAAGCTGGCACAGAGGACCAGAGGTCTGATGACCTGGGAGGAGACTCCACCTCTGGCTGTGGGCCATAAGCAAATGTGACCACACCCTTAAGTATAATGTGTAGGGATTAAGTCTGGACCACCTTGGGAAGGCAGGAGTCACTGCGCTATGGGCATGCCTGCCTTCTAAGGGGCTCCCTTTCCCATTTGTTCCTAATTTAATCAATTTCACCTGAACTGTTAATCTTACTTGCTAAACATAGTGAGTTCCCAGTTTGCCCCAATTTTAGACCCACCTTTGCTGGGATTCTGCAAGCAGACAGAAAATAAAGATTCACACACACTGAGGGTCAGCAAAATGGCTGCTGCCCAGCCAGCCTAAGCAAGTAGCTTTTATTGAGATAAAGAACAGAGAAACTCAAACTGTGCATGCTCAGATTATCTGACTTGTTTGCTTCTTGACCTTATAGGACCTCGTGTTTTTACCTTGGGGTGGGGGTGATGTTTCAAGGCCTGCACTTTTCCCATAACATTGTCCACTGATGTGTTCGGGGCAAAATGGAGTCAGTTTGGCCTCTCTACACATCTTATCCCATGGTTTTACTCTAAAAGTCCCGAGAAAATACAGACTCTTTCGCAACCGAGGCAGGACCCCATCCCTCTCTCTCTCAGACAGAAGCCTTCTTTCTCTTAATAAATATTTCTGCTCTTAACCCCCATTGTCAGTAAAATTGATTCTTCGATTGTGGAGATCATGAACTGGTTCTGGACAAATAGGTTGGGAGTTTCGTTCCCCTAGATCATCAGCAGCCTTATTTTTGTGGTAGCCTTTATCGTAAAATGTACTTGTGCTTGTTTCATAGTTAGCAAGCTTCAGGGCAAGCAGTACTTGGCTGTTGATCCGTAGTGAAACTTTGCCCCAAAGGGTTTTCAGATCACAACATTGACTCTGCCTAGTAACCATGACCTCATTAATGTAGCCAATCAGTTTAGATCATGAGGTCACACCCTGACCAATGGGATGAGGAGAGTGTGCATGTGGGATAAAAAGCGGCCTGTTAGCTTGCTTGCCCTTGTCCCTCTGTGATCTGCTCTGCTGCAGGAAAGTTCACCTGGCCAAGAAACTTTTCAGCCTTTAGTTTCTTTTCTCCTGTTTGTGACACCACAGAAATCCTGCCCACCAGCAAGGGAGGGGAAAGGGCTCTTGCTCAGGGTAACTCTGAAAGTGCTGCGTGTTACACCCACACTGAGAGACACACAGAGCTGGGGCCTCTGCGTGGACGTGGGCGTGTGACACTGGCAGCAGAGCGAAGGACAAGCTGTCACCCTCAGGTCACTGCTGTCGTCCTGTACTGTTTCTGCAGGGCGATTTAAAACTGAGAGGTTGTGTGAGGAGGACTCTGACATAAGTACTCAGTCAGGAAAATCCCCAGAGTGAGGGCTGCAGGCTGAGAATGGAATGGAGTAGAGGGGATTTTACATGGGGAGGAGCCGAGGGGAGCAGGAGGGAAGTGGGGACCGAACTGAGTCCCTACCTTGCAGGTGGGTGCTTTTGCCCCTGAGCTCAATCCTGGCTCCATTGCATTTTACGTGGTTGTGTTTCTGGGATCTCCTGAGGTGTTCAGGAGAATTACATCCCCGTGTTGTCAGAGTCTGCAGTGGGAGTCCCGTGTGCTTACCCTAATCTAAACCCCTCTTACTAATGCACTGTTGTTTCAGATTCAGACCTGGCTCCTGTGCCCAGTTCAGATCACTCATGGTCCTGATCAGTAGCTCTAACTGTCAGGATTGCTGACGCGTGCACTTAAACTTAATTTCATGACGTAACAATAACGCCTGGCAACACTCATTTCACTTATTCTTTGCATGTGAACAACTTCTGTGTTGTCTTTTGATAAGGTCTAAATCTTTAATGGTGGTTTGTGCCAATACTGTTTTCTTGCATTAAGGTTTTTGCTCTCTAGCTGAGTCCACCACTTTTTGCATAACTGAGATACATGCCAGACTGTCTCTACAATTGTCCACTGCCTATTTTCAGATCTCTTTTGGTTAATTTACTTGATTCAATCCTGACCACAATTGCCCTATCATTTCCTTGCAGTGTATATTGTTCATGGGTGAACATCCGATTAGTATCATGAGGTAAATATCCATTGTCAAGCTTTAGGGTGGAAGATTGCAGTCTCTGGAGTGGGGTGCTTCACTTCTGGCAATGCCTTTGTGCATAGAAAAGTCCCAGGGGTTCAGGCATTGCAGAGGTGCCTTTGTCAGTCAGAACTTACTGAAACACCAGAATTTCCAAATGCTGTGTTTTTCCCCCAACTTAGTCTCAGAAAAATGAAACGATTTTTTTCTGATACTGTCAAAATACTGCAGTGTTCCAAATGGGGAAACTGAGTGACTTTTAGACCCTATGAAGCGGCCCCAGGGAGTTTCCCTCTCAGACTCCCACACTCGCGTTCATCAGGGCACTGGCTCTGCACTGCTCCCTTCTGCTCCTGGTCAGCAGTCAGAGGAAATTTCGCTCCTGCCAGTCTGCGTCCTCTTTTTCCGGCTTGCTTCTGGGTA